AAAAAAAGAAAGAAAGAGAGAGAGAGAGAGAGAGAAAGAAAAAAAAAGCACTTCATGAAAGAGAAAGCAAGGAATACATTCAAACTAATCTCAGTGCCAGTAGTACCCTGAGTCCACAACTAAATAAACTGAATTAATAAAGACAGCACAAACTGCCAGGTTGTGGTGACCCACACCTTTAATCCTGGCAGGCAAATCTCTGTGAGTTCAAGGCCAACCTGGGCTATAGAGTGAGTTCAAGGAAAGGCACAAACCTGCACAGAGATACCCTGACTCAGGGGAAACAAACAAACAAACAACCCCAATGGGAATATGTTGAGGTCCAGGTGATTAGAGAACTCCAAATCTATCAGGACCATTGTTCCATTTTCCCTGCAAGCACTGCCCCTTATGGACTAGTATCTAGCATTTCTCATACTGCCTCTTTGTAATTTCGCCACAAGCAACCAACCAATCATGGCTTGTCACATGGCTTTTCTTCAGCTTCTATACCATAAGAGGGCCGTAGTTACTTTTATGACGACTGTGATCAAGTCACAGTGAAGAATCAATTCTAGGGAGGAAGGTTTTAGTTGCACATAGACTTTCAACAGACACAGAAGCCATGGGGCTGGGAACATCTTGTTCCTTGTAGATCTGGGTTGTTACATGGCTGGTGACATGGCATTAGAAGTTCTCTGTCTGCCGGGTGGTGGTAGCACACGCCTTTAATCCCATCATTTGGAAGACAGAGGGAGGTGGATCTCTGTGAGTTCAAGGCCAGCCTGGTCTACAGAGTGAGATCCAAGACAGGCACCAAAACTACACAGAGAAACTCGGTTTCGAGGGGAAAAAAGGTTCTCTGTCCACCAGTGACTTACTTTCTAGAAAGCTTCACCTCTGTGCCTTCCACAACTTTCCAAGCAGCACTAGCTCCTGGAAACCAAGTGCTTAAAAGGCCTGAGATAAGGTTAACGACACCATTGGGGTAGTTTGAATGAGAAATGTCCCTACAGTCTGGTCATTTGACCACCAGTTTTGGCCCATTTGGGGAAAGTCAGGGGGTAGAGTCTTGTTTTTTGTATTAGAGTTCACAATAACAACAGAATAATTGATACAATGATTCAATCTCTCTCCTCCTCCTCCTCCTCGTTCTTCTCTCTCTCTCTCTTTCTCTCTCTCTCTCTCTCTCTCTCTCTCTCTCTCTCTCTCTCTGTTCTGGAGCTTATTGGAATTACTTACAGGCAGCATTCCAGCTAATCCAACAACGGGTGACTATGAACTAAAAGTCCCTGAATCCAGAAGAGGCTTGGCCCACGAGGCTGGATCTCTCTGCCACTCTTCAGTATATGCTGGAATCTCAAATAAGTAGGCTCTAATTCCACTGAAAGAATGGACTTGGTAACAAGGTGAAGGCAAGGGAGAAATGAGTAAAAGCCTCCTTTTTCCATGTCCTTATTAGTCTTCCTGAAGAAGGTGTGGCCAAAATTAAAGGTGTGTCTTCTGGCCTCAAGATCTGGATTAAAGGTATGTGTCTTCCCACCAGAGATGCTCTTTAAAGATAGGTGTTTCCGGCAGACATAGGTAGGCTTGTGGCATCGACCCACAGAGGTAGACAGGCCCGGCAGCGGAGACAAGCAAATGCAGGTAGGCCTGTGTTGGCAGCCCACAGAGGTAGACAGGTCTGGCGGCAGTGACAAGCAGAGGTAGGTAGGCCCACGGCAGCAGCCAGCAGAGACATACAGGCCCGGTGGCAGCCCGCAGAGGTAGACAGACCCAGAGGCAGCTGATAGGGA